TCACTTTGTTAGATCTATATAAACAAGTTATTTAAAATGACAAATAATATTGACTTATCGATTTATTGTTAGCAACGTCCTAAATGCTTCGCATAGGTTTGTCATGTAAACAGAATAATTATTCATCGGCTACATTTAACAGAAAAAAATAACTAGTTTTGCTATCCTTCATGCTAACTACATCATTTTCATGTTTGAAACAACGAAACATGCTAACACATGGTAATAATCAATGTTTAGAAAATTAAACAACGTTATTTTATTTATATTAAGCTTTTTTTAGCGTTTTGACCATGTACTTGTGTCCAGTTAGTGTTGTTTGTTTCTTATTAAAGACACTTACTGTGAACTAATGATACCAACAAAAGGGTAGATTTCAAGATAACCTTTCTGAGTGTTATTTACTGTTACCCAGGCTACAATCAATTTTAATGAATTACCACTATCTTACCTAAAAAATACCCAGGTGGGAACATTTAGACATTGAGTTCACAAAGTTCAGTTACGGTTCCCATTTGTAAGATAATATTAACTAATATTAAATTACTAAGACAATTGACTGTGAATGACAAATCATGCATAACAATAGAAATTACTGCATTTTGCTCACAGTAGTATGACATGTACAGTAATAAATGTCAATAAAAATTCTATCTACTAGAATAACCCTTGACCTGGACTCAATCAACTGAATGAAATTATACCCCGTGAGAATTTTCATTTATATTTTCAAAAATGAACCATTTCAAGTTTCATTACATACATATTATGAATGTTGTGAGTTTTAATTGTGATTAAACAGCATTTTCTTTGAATAATTTTTTTTTACATTTCGTAGTATTACGAGAGTAACTGTAAATGTACATGAAAGTAGTTTACAGTAACCAAGACTCTAAAATGAACACATATGAATAGTGTTAAGCAAATGGTGGAAACCGAAATGAAACTAGAATGTAAACATGAAACTATATAACTGATTTTTTTGATCTAAATTTGTAGTGTGTGTGAAATACTAAATTGAATGTCATTTGTGAATATTTTTTTTCTCACGTTTTGTTGTTCTATTCAAGAACAAAGAAACTAAGTTGTTATTTAAATCACTCAAGTGAATGTTGATTTACAATTTAATATACAAGTACACAAAATTGCATGTATTAATAGCGAATCAGAAATTAGTTTACTACTATTTGACCTTGAGAACCAAAATCTATTGATTTTCAATAAAATTCTCAGTTACATATGTGCTGTTTATATTTATGGAAAAAGAATATTCTCCAATATATTGTAATATACTATTGTCAATTAACTAAGTTTTGGTAATAAATCTTAATTAAAATTTCTAGTGTATGATTTTTGTATTAATCCGTGATAACAAATAAAATAGGGGATATTTTAATTAAATAATTGTGTTTGTGATACTGTATTAGTATACTGTTACACTCCAAAAGTGGCTTCTGTTAATGTATATCTAATACGATATTTTCATGGGTTTTTTAATTGTTTGGATATAGTCAACTAAGCTACCTAACAAAATGTCATTCCCGACTAGCACAATTCCTGGGTACTAATGAAAGCTTGGCATATCCACTTCATCTAAGTGTGTGATTATATAAATTCATAACGTGATGAGTATATAACATTATTCACGATAAATAAAGGACATATGAATTCATTTGAACGTCGAATTTAACCTAAAATCTTCAGATATGACTGTTTATCTCCTTATAATTAAGGATAGTACTTGCAACTCTTTAAAAACTAGATGGATTTAGAAAGAGAATGTCCCAGAAACCAACTAGTTAGGTCCCATTTAAAATAAAAATCATTTGTAAGGTATTATCACTAGTTAGCAAATTGAAAAGAAAACGCATATATCAATTTTAACTACTCTACTTCATATTTCAGTAGCATAAATATTATACTATAACTTGGAATGAATAAATAAATGTATAACCATAGAATAATATTTTTCCCCGTTATCGTTAATATTTGAAGAGTGTATATATATATTTGCAGATTTCTAACTCTGCTTATTTACTTTATGTCTTTATGTGATGAACCAAGGATAATAGGTTTAACAATAATTTTTAGTTTTTATTATCATATTCATTACAATTATTAAGTAATCTTGGTTTGTTAAATACTTTTTAAGGACAAAATCTTGCGATTTTCCCTTTGTTTATTTTCATTCATTAAAGATCTACGTGCCTCATGAATTATAAGCACAGATATTATCAAATGTAAGGTGATGTGAAGAAATTAGGTCGATATATTATTTTCATAGTGGTGTTTATTATTCATGCCTTATAGAATAGTTTAATTGGCGATATGAAATAGGGTAGCAAACATTTAGGGTGTAATTCTACAATTTTCAGCGTTCATTTGTTATACAGTAGTTAGCTGCATAGTGTGATATCACAAATTTATACCATATCTTAATTAATATGAAAGAGTAAAAGAGGAGACTATAATCTATGGACGTTCTTTAAGTGATAGTTAAGTGATCTTGAGAAACTCCAACTGATTAATAGAGTCAAAATAAGGCTATAAATTGGTATGTGGAATTAGGACTAGTAGCTAGAAATATAAGTTAAGGTTAAGTATTGGAATTAGGGTTTTAATCATGAACTGACTATACTCATAATGCAAAAAATGTTTTTTAGTCATAGGGGTACACTAATTTAGCACCAAAATTCAAGATTCCCAATCTTAAATCTGATTGCTTCATACATAATTTATAGTCTCACCGAATGAACTATCAAGTTATAAGCTCCATTTTAACTGAGTTTAAGTACATTTTGATCTTATTATATTTTTTTTTATTTAACAGAACTAAAACTGTTATTATCATGTTGCTTATTTTCTAACATTTGTCGTTATATTACTTAATAATAACAATAATCATATTTGCAAAATCATACTGTTTGTTTATGTATTAACGAGCAGTCAAAGAAATTAATTTCGTTATAAACTCAATACATTGTACTTGATTTCATGTTATACAACTATAAAACTAGTTAAATTAAAAGAAATTACAAAATTGTTTATTGTAGCATAGCTGTATTCATATACATAAGAACTTTCATCTAAATTAAAGCGAATAGTTGCACAGTATTTTGGCGCCGGATTGATGTAAGACATTAAATAGTAAGTTTGAACTAAATTGCCTGGAAAAAGGTTGGGTTTACTTCAAATTCATTCGCTGAGATTTTACAAATATATTTTTCCTATTTAATATATTCATATACATTCTACGACTGCGATTATTACTATGAATGAGGTTTAGGAAACTAAGCAGTATTTACAAAGGAAGTTTATTCAAATATTTTTTAAGCCTTTTCAAACAATGATTATTCATAATATTTGAGATTGCTTAATTGTAAAGTTATTTTTAGAGAAAAACATTTTACATATGTAGATAAATATCTATCACCTTTTATGTTATGAATTCGTTGGATACTTTTTTACTTGTTAATAAAACTACAAAAAGCATGCGTATGCACCATGCTGATTGTTTTCCTTTGACAATAAAAAAAACTATATGCTATGAGACATCAGCTGTAATGTATATTTAATGAACAGGAAGAGTAAAGTTATGTTTAATAATCACTAGGCTTGATTATGATCATTCAACTAATATAAAAAGGTAAGGTAATTAAAAAAAACACCTGACAATCATTTGTTTCTTTTCATGTTAACATTAGTCTTAACATTTACTAGTTGCATGTATCCATTTGTAAATTTAAAGGGGATTCACAAAAAGTAATGAGACATCCCTACATAACAATGTCTGAAGATTCTTTGTTATAAAAGGCAGTTTGTATATATTTTCATGAATATTTGCAAGGGTTTTCTATTACTTCCCTTTTGATATTGATTAGTGATTGTTAAAAAAATAGTTTATGGCTTGTGAAGCAATAAACTACGCTTCTGCTCACTAATCAAAATATAATAAAACTGTATATATTTTACTTCAGATGAATATATCAGTGTTCTGATGCAACCCCTATTATTTGTAGAATAATCTACTTTTAAGTAATCTCCACGGAGGTTCTGCTCGGATTTTAATCAATTTTTTTGTTAGAAATGTAGTGTGACTAGTTTAGATTTCTCAATCTTATCCTATGGTAATCAGTCTCCTTAGTCAATGATACGTTAGAATAGTCTCTGAATAGGGTGGTAGGTAATATTTCTGACTTTTGAAAAAAATGTATATCTACTCAAGACTGATGAGTATGACTAACAAGGAAGGCAAATTAAAAGTTCTGATTACTTCACTTTCAATTACCTTTATTACTGCTATTATTTTCAGATATTACTATGACTAATATTATTGTTTTTCTAGGACATGGGTTTGTGGAGGTTGTTGGATTTTGCTGTTTTACATCACGGACTTCTCCTAATTAGGCAGCCGCAGAAAACCGAGAAGTATTGGACATTCATTGTGTTATATCAGTGTATCTCTCAACGGTACACATATACGATAGGTCAGTCTATAGAATTATTATTATTGCTGTTTTACTCTGTGCTTAAGTGATTTCATCTATTTTAAAAATGCATTCACATTCATCATACAATTTCTATCCAAAGAAATCATCTGAACTATAAGAAATCAGATGATCACGTAACAAGTCTAAATAATTTTTTTAATTCCAATATTATGCCTTAATCTATCCTAAAGTAACATTATATAATATATAATAGCGATTGGCATTTTAACTATTTACGTTTGCTATTGGTGATGTGATATTATGTAAATATGAAATAGAGTTGTTAACAGTTGAATAGGATCCACGTGGTATAACGAGTTCAAGTTTTTCTGCTAAAATTGTGGTTTCTGGATTGATTAAATTTCTAAAGGGACCTGACTGTATAGAGTCTCTTAAACATAAAGAACACGTGAGCAACTTATTAACAAAAATTAAATATTTTGATGAATCAACAAGTAGACTCAAGAAGAATTTTTAGTGAAACAACATTTAACATATGAAATTGCTCACTTCAATAATTTGATCTCCAGCCTTGAGACCAGCTTTCTCTGCATTACCATCTAAATTAAATGGTAGAAAATTGAGAAACAAAATAAATGGACTTGGGAGTCTGAACAAAAATCATATTATATAATAATTAGAATTCGGTTAAAAGCAAAATGATTACTATCGCCACGTTGTGCTTCTAATCAGTTCTTATTAACCAGACAACTCAATATATATATAGTTACATTCTAGTTGAAATATCAATCTGATATTACTATTGATGGCTTTACTCAATATTACATTTCCAGCACAATATAGAATTCTCAGCAAAAGGTATTTCTACAAGTTCCTTCTACAAAAATGGAAGAAAAATAAAAGAGACTGATAATTGCATACACTAAACATAAGTTATGCAAATAAACCACCTGGAATTAAATGGAATTTTTTTACAGAAGATTTGAATACGTACAATTTTTTAAAATTAGAAACATGTATAAGAATACAGGTTATTAACTAGGTCAACTGTAACAAACTGTTCGTCATACAGTATATTTGCTAGATGAGGTATTGTAGAGCTTTTACACCTTTGCTTGCGTGCATGGATTCTAATGTATTGACATATCGTTCTACCAGAAGATATACAAAGAGAAAGGTATGAATGAAGTGGACGGTTAGTGTCCGACAAGATAACATCTTCCAGCAGTTTGTAAGACTTTAGTTGTCTATCCACAACCATATTAATAGTGACCCTAAAATATTCATCACACACCCTACTATCTGCCTTTAACATTCTCAATAATACAGCAACGTCTTTTCTCGAAAGCCAAGGAAAGAATAATGGAGAACATTAATGAATAATAGGTAATATGAAAGAATTCACAAATAATAAGAGTAAATGTTGAGAAATCTCAAAAGCATGCAGCCTCTTCTTTATATGGTAAGCGATACGAATGACTTTCTTCTATGACAAAAAACATGAGAAGACCAAGAGAGATCAAAGGAAAAACTTTCGCCAAGATAAACGACTTTTGACACTGTGTTTATCAAAGAATCTCCAATGGTACAAACTCTGTTGGGTTCCAACAACGTGTTTAGGTGCTGTTCATGTCTCAGGCTAAGGTTAACAGTTTGACATTTAGATAGGTTAAGTGTGCTACCATTAACAACAGACCACTATTCAATACGAGACAAAAACTCTTTCGTTTCAAGGGAATGTGAAGAGGTAGAAATCAGCATACATACAGTGAGATCGTCCGCATATTTCACAAAAGTATTTTCTGTGAAACACGGCAGATTGTGCAGAAAGAAAGAGAAGAGAAGAGGCGGAAGGACAGCTCCTTGTGGCACATCATCAGTCAGTCGAGACGTTGAACACTTTCCTCCAAACACTATTCTATTCTCTTTCAGAGAGTTAAAATATAGCCAGTTGGTTATCCAGTTGGCAGTGTTAACGCCGATTAACGTGTTAAGTAGAAGTTGTCTTGGAATAAAGTCAAAGGGAGAAGTATAATCTAGAAAATCTCATCGAACATACTTCTAACCGTTTTTCAAGCTGAGCATTATATTATTATGCAGAACAACAGCAGCATCTAATGTGCCTCTTTTGTATTCGTAAGCAAACTGATAGGGATCAATGTGCTAGTTTAGTGCATGTTGAAGTGGGAGTATCAGTAATTTTTGCATTGTTTTTAGAAAAGGTGAAGTCATTGCTTTGGGTCTAAATTTAACATTCTATCGCCAGATACTTTCCTAGATATTGGGATTATCTTTATCTTTCTCCAAATTTTCGGTAAGAGGTTATTCGAGAAGGATCTGTTAAAGATGCTGGTGAATGAATAACACAGAATGTCAGCATACTTTTTAAAAAGAAGGTTTGGGATTTCATCAAATCCTGAAAGTTGGGACGAATTAAATGACTGGAGACATTTTCGGACATCAGTATCAGTGAAAATTGGAACACAACTGTTTTTCAAACTTGTGTATATAGGAAGCATAACATCATTTGATTGATGTACAAAAGACAAATATTCGGCTGTTTATCGCTTCAAATATGCTTCTCACCTGTGAATTATTTACATAGTTTCCTCATACTTGAAGAATTTTTAGAAGACAGGAATTTCTAAGTAAACGTTGAGTCCAGAAGTCTAATTTTCAGGTTTGTTAAAAACCACTTAACCTTCGAGTTTCAATGAAGCCTTTCTCCTTGTATATTCTTTCTTTTACCTTCCCTAATCTTTTAGTTGTGGAGAAGTAAGTTGATCAAAACTTATAAAAGTGGTTTGAGGGGACAATGAATATCAAAACAGAATTTGCGATAACAAGTAATGACATCAACGGTGCTTTCCAGTGAACCATCCGTAAATAATCCCCAGTTAGTCGTACACAACATGATTTTCAGATTTTGGATATTTTCTTATGAGTGATTCGTGTATTTGACTTTCAGCATCTGATGTAAGAGTGTACTCTTTCCAAGCTTGACATATACTTTAGGTAGAACACGAATTATACAATGATCAGAATTAAACAGTGTAGCAGGTTTACGAGTTACACATGTACCCACATCATTAATGAAAACTAAGTCAAAATAAGCATCCAAACGAGTGAGTAAATCTGGTGACGAAGTGATAAATAGAAGCTACAGTCACATGAATTGAAATCACCGACTACAATTGAAAATTAACCATTGAAGGCAGTAACAACAAATCCAGTGAATTCGTCAGTGAAACACAGATAGTGCAGATGATGTACAGTCTGAAGTCACGTAGGTGTTGGTAACAAACATAACTGTATTTATCCAAGTGTTTTTTACGGCATCTTAAAGTTTGAAAACTTAAACATGTAAAATAAGATCGACATCGGTCTACGTTTACAAACGTAGCTACACTACCGCCACACCTTTTCTTATTGCTTGGTCAATCTTGACGATAGATATTAAAATCTTGTAGTGATAATAAGCAATCGTCTTGTGAATCATCTAATCAATATTCTTGAATTGTAATTATGCTACAATTATGGCACATGTTTTGACTTAGTAAGAATTAAAGATAGTCGACTTTTCCAATCACTGATCAGCAGTTAGAATTTAACAGTTCAGGAATGGACATCTGATTGATGTTCATTCTCTTCAATGCATATTGTCAGTCATCACGATGTTTGTGATTATACTTTTTTGTACTTTTTAGAGTGATAGAGCGTAAACTTTTTATATGCGCACAGGAGTAGGTTATGCGATTAACAGACACGATATTGTGTTTAAATAAAATAAAAAAAGACAACTTGTTGAAACATCTAGATGGTAGGAACAGGTAATCCAGATATTTAAGCAGGTCACCAGAATTGAAAAGTAAAAATCTGATATCACTTAGCCAAGTGATCTCTTTTATCTCGTTATTATAATTATGTACTTTATCATATGATGTATAACCTTCAATGTACACATATTTTTAATATGATTATTAATTATACAGTACGAGGAAACATAAACAGAGAATAATGTACACAACTGAAGTTGAACATAACAGCATATACGTTTAAATAAAAAAGAAGATAATTTGTTTTATTCTAAATTAGCTATAGAAGAACCAAAGGTTATTCATTGATGAGAAAAATCAGCACACTAGAAATAAAGTCATTCAAACTTGTATAGAAAACAAATGGAATTTAATAATGATACAAAAGTACGCCTTAATTAAATGTTAATTTAATAACATATTTCGTTTTAAAATAATTTGTAGTCTTTAATTGTGAAAAAATAAGATGTTTAGGTGAAAATCACATTCCATTTGTAAACAGGAGAATAAAATTATGATTTACTTAGTATTGTTTGTTTGAATCTTTCCATTGGTTTTTAGGACTAAAATTGATCAGTCTCTTATTAGCATATGCGCATACTGTGCGTATTGCCTCAATATAGCCTTAATTCACAAGCATTATAAGCAAAGGTTGATATTGGCTAGCAGTGGAATCCAGGACGCGCGTTTTGCCCCGTTTGGAACTCATGAGCTGGATGTACCTGCATCTCAGAGGTGATGTTCAATCTGGGACTCAGTAGCTGAGTGGATAGCGCGATGGCGTTTGAAGCGAACAGTACTGGGTTCAAGTTACAGAGTGAAAATCAACTCTGAAATGTAGGTACATCCAGCTGACAAGTCCCAAATAGGATGAAACGCGCATCCTGGATTCGACTGCTAGCCACTATCCATCTTTGCTTATAAATAAAAATATAGTTGGATCTGTTACTTTTTTTGCCTTTTTATTGTCATTATTGTATAGATTTTGACAATGGCATTAATCAAACAAAATTACATTCTATTCGATCGATTTTCATTGTTATAAATAGTTAATTTTAATTACACTTTTATAATTGACCTTTATGATTTTGATTTTCATCACTTTTTTTCATTCCTAAATTATATGAAATCTTTAACCGCTTCTAATCTTTATTTAATAATTATAGCTTGTTGTTTATATGTTCTACGACAAACTATGGTATTTTAAGAACGGGTTTTGTGGAGATTTTAGTAATTTTATGATTCAATTCACTAGACAATCAAAGCTAGACCACCATGGAAAACCTGGATGCAATGGACGGCCGATTCGACCTATTGTGGTTCTCCTCAGAAGTGCGTATCCACGATCCCTCCTCACGAGATCCAAACTCAGGACCTTTTTGATCATAATCGGATGATCACTAGTGACTGGCTTCAAGAGGTATTTCCTGGAGTTTCAATGAGAAGTAGTGAAGAGTAGAGCTCAACCAGGTCTGTTGTGAGATAGTAAATCACTGAAGACAATGGTGAACGGAAACTATGTTATTTATTAAATTTGATAAAAAACACTTTTTTGGTGCACTGGTCTGCTTTTTATTGGATTTGCCATTTCTATACTTTGAAACTAATAACGTTGTCGCACTACTTATAATTACACAAACCATTTATTTTTACTATTTTCTTTTACTAAGGGTTTTGAAGTTAAAGAAAAATCGTCTCTTAAAATATCTCAAAAATTTAAGTATAAGAATTATGTCAGTCTATATTTTAATGGTATACATTAGTTATGATATATTCATATATAC